GGGTGGATGGATGAGTGGATGGATGGGTGGATAGAAGGATGGATGGATGGGTGGATGGATGAGTGGATGGATGGGTGGATAGAAGGATGGATGGATGGGTGGATGGATGAGTGGATGGATGGGTGGATAGAAGGATGGATGGATGGGTGGATGGATGAGTGGATGGATGGGTGGATAGAAGGATGGATGGATGGGTGGATGGATGAGTGGATGGATGGGTGGATAGAAGGATGGATGGATGGGTGGATGGATGAGTGGATGGATGGGTGGATAGAAGGATGGATGGATGGGTGGATGGATGAGTGGATGGATGGGTGGATAGAAGGATGGATGGATGGGTGGATGGATGAGTGGATGGATGGGTGGATAGAAGGATGGATGGATGGGTGGATGGATGAGTGGATGGATGGGTGGATAGAAGGATGGATGGATGGGTGGATGGATGAGTGGATGGATGGGTGGATAGAAGGATGGATGGATGGGTGGATGGATGAGTGGATGGATGGGTGGATAGAAGGATGGATGGATGGGTGGATGGATGAGTGGATGGATGGGTGGATAGAAGGATGGATGGATGGGTGGATGGATGAGTGGATGGATGGGTGGATAGAAGGATGGATGGATGGGTGGATGGATGAGTGGATGGATGGGTGGATAGAAGGATGGATGGATGGGTGGATGGATGAGTGGATGGATGGGTGGATAGAAGGATGGATGGATGGGTGGATGGATGAGTGGATGGATGGGTGGATAGAAGGATGGATGGATGGGTGGATGGATGAGTGGATGGATGGGTGGATAGAAGGATGGATGGATGGGTGGATGGATGAGTGGATGGATGGGTGGATAGAAGGATGGATGGATGGGTGGATGGATGAGTGGATGGATGGGTGGATAGAAGGATGGATGGATGGGTGGATGGATGAGTGGATGGATGGGTGGATAGAAGGATGGATGGATGGGTGGATGGATGAGTGGATGGATGGGTGGATAGAAGGATGGATGGATGGATGGATGAGTGTATGGATGGATGGGTGTGTGGATGGATAAGTAGAGGGATGGGTGGATGGATGAGTGGATGGACGGATGGGTGTGTGGATGGATGAGTGGATGGACGGATGGGTGTGTGGATGGATGGATGGATGGATGGATGGATGGATGGATGGATGGATGGATGGATGGATGGATGGATGGATGGATGGATGGATGGATGGATGGATGGATGGATGGATGGATGGATGGATGGATGGATGGATGGATGGATGGATGGATGGATGGATGGATGGATGGATGGATGGATGGATGGATGGATGGATGGGTGTGTGGACGGATGGATGGATGGATGGATAGACGGATGAGTGGATGGGTGGGTGGATGGATGGATGGATGGATAGACGGATGAGTGGATGGGTGGGTGGATGGATGGATGTATGAGTGGATGGATGCATGGGTGAATGGATGATTTGTGGATGAAGAGATGGATGAATCTTTTACATCTCAGACCCTCTTAAAGACTCCAAAAGGCTCTCTCAAATCCTAAATGTCCTCCAGTCTCACTAAACTTACCCTCCAATGTTCTTAACAAAACTGTTCACCTAAGCAATTATCTAGATCTTTTTTTCACGTACATCTCCATCAGTAGAATGTAAGTTCTAACCAGCATCCTTGTCTTTATGTAACAAATATTTTGGGGAAATCATTACAAGCAGGGCAGAAAACAAGAGGCTGTGAATTCATTAATAGATGAAATAAAGAAGGTGCTCTGCCTTTGTGGAACAAAAAAAGAATTAGGCAGAAACAAGCTAGTTTGAAGAGTGTTAAGGTCCATTCCAGTCCTGACAGTCTGAATTCAAACAGGCAAAAGAGCACAGTGGTTAGTCCGAGATCTGCCTCTTCATGCATTCAATATTTATTGAGCACCTACTGTGTGCCAGGCAGTGTTCCAAGCACTGGTGATACTGCAGTGAACAACACAGACACAATCTCCCTGCTTTTTTGTTCCTTGAACACACCAACCACTCTTTCACCTCTGGGGCTTTGTACACACTGTTCCTTCTGCCTGGAACATTTTCCTCCACCCCATCTATGATGTTTTCACTTGGCTAAGTTTATTTATCCCTCAATGATCAGCTTGGCCTCTCAGAAGTCACCCTGACCTGCTCCCGCAGGCTTCCCACACTGCCCTGTGATTCCCCATCAGAATCTTGACCCCCCAATTTTATAACTGCTTAGTTACAGGTCTATCCTCACTAGATTATGAGTTTTATGCAAGCAGTGATTATACCACACTCATTTTTGTCTCCTTCACACCCAGGAGAACACCCGGCACATAGTAAGTTCTCAATAAATAAATGTAGGCTGCATAAATGAATGAAATCTCTGTGTCCCTTCCTCCCCTCTGACCAGGAAAACCCTCCACACAAGCCACACCCCACCTTCTCCATTCCACAACTTTAATGCAGCTCCACCATGGCCAGGTCACCCCCCACACCCTTGCCTGGGGGGCCCAGCCCTACAGGCTTACCCGGCCATAGATCTCCCCTCGCCACCAGCCTTGTTGTCCCTTTTTGTTAAGGATCTTGATGATGTCACCCTCCTTGAGGGACAGCTCCGATCGGTCCCGGGCACAGAAGTCATAGCGGGCTTTGGCTGTGCCAAAATACTTGGTGCTCCCTGCTGTGGAAGGGAGAGCAGAGGTGAGAAAACGGTCTGGGACAGGTACCCACTCACTGTCTAGGGACAGTGGGGGGCAGTGAGGGTTCGGGAGACACATGCTGTTGGGAGGGTAACTCTAGAATAAAGGGTCCCTCAGTGCTCCTTTGTGCAGAGTATTGGGTGCCCTCTACTCTGAGTGGACACGACTGTACTTCCAGAATCATCCTTCCAGCCTAAGGAGCATCCAAATTTAGGGAAAAAAGACCATTTTTGAATGTTTTAATAGTTTGTATATGTTTATAGAAAAGGAAACAAAAAGAAAAGTATGGAAAAACTCATTCTAGGCTGTTAATTATCTTAAGGAGGACCAGGAATCAATAAAGAAAGGGAGTGGAAGGGCCGGCCCGGTGGCGCACTCAGTAGAGTGCGGTGCCTGGGAGTGTGGTGGCACTCCCACTGAGGGTTCGGATCCCATATACAGACCGGTCCGCTCACTGGTTGAGCGTGGTGCAGGCGCGACACCGAGGGTTGCGATCCCGTTGCCAGTCGCAGTACGGGTGCGACACTGAGGGTTGCAATCCCATTACCGGTCACGAAAAAAGACAAAAAAGGAAAAAAAAAAAAAAAGGAAAAAAAAAAAAAAAAGAAAGGGAGTGGGAGATAAATGGCAAGTGGGGGGGGTGACATGGAGAACTTTTCACAGTACAAAATTAAGCAAAGTTGTAGAATATAAAATTAATGTGCAAATATGCTTAGATTGAACATCCATATATACCCCAGGACAAATAAGTAACATGCAGACAAACCGAAATACTGAATAGATTGAGTGATAAATATAGGGATAGTTTTTGTATTGGAGTCCTAATGTTATGTTAATAGTGCTTTTTCAAGAATACAATATTTTAACAATAATTAATTTTTAAATCCCTCTTTAAAAAATTTTTTGGACATATAAGAATTCAAAAACTATACCACCTATGTAACTGTTCTGAGAAATGTACTCCAGAATGCACTCCAGCAAAATGAAATGTGAATCAGCATAAGGAATTTTTAAAATAATGAAACACGTGGAAAACAAATACAGATGGAGTCTAAATAATTCTTAATGCTTTATTTGCAAGGTTAAACACAATTTTTAAGAAAGGACTCTTAAAATTTACATCCTAATTGATTTAATGCATCATAGCAAACTGTATCCAGCAGTTGCAGATAATTTCAACAAACCCAGTGGGTGAGAGATTCAAAGGAAAGGGGAAGTAGAGTGCACTAAAGGTCTTGCCTTTTTGTGGAAGAAGGTTACAGATACTATTTAGTCCTTGATATTAATGTAAAACTACAGGCTTAAAATGAGCAGGTGGAGTCCCCTACTGGTTCCTAGTATCCTCATCTTCCCAAATAGGAAAGTAATCCCAGCCCCACCTTCCATCTAAGCTAACAAATATGCAGACCACTCAAGAGTAAAGGGACAGACAGGAGTGGGAAAGAGTTCCTGCTGCTGCACAGATATGACCTCTGCGTGCCCGTTAGAAGGCACTGCATGCTCAAGCTTGTCTTCACAATAGGAAGGGGCTGGGGCTGCAGGCCCCTCGCCTGACACATCCTACCTGGTGGCTTGCTGATGGCTCTCCTCTCAGGCTCCTTGAAGGGGAACTGTAAAGTGGTGTCTAGTGACTTGAAGCAATCCTTTAGGGAGTTCTGCTGGTAAAATTCCACCAGCTCCTGGAAGGGAGACAGCAGGACAGATTCTATTCCAGTGGGCCAGCCCACAAGAGGACAGAGCTGGGAAGAGACAAATCCAGCTCCTCAAGTGAAGCACACCCCACCCTTCTAACCTCCCCAGCAAGTGACTCATTGAATGTTCCCCATGACGGAGAGCTCATTCCCTTCCTGGGCAGCCAGGATCATTTTATGGGGCAGAGACCACATTGTCTAAAACCAGTTTCCCTAATAGCCGATTAGTTCACCTCATGGTAAATTTACCAAACAATTAGCTCACCAAAATTCAAACCCTCCTAGGAGTGTCAACTTCCTTTTGCTGTTGTTATTTAAGCACCTACTATGTGTTGACTAATGTGCATACCACACATCATCAAAATCTAATAATCCTGAGAAGTGAATACATTCATGATTTTCCCATTTTATAAATGGAGAAACTGAGTTACAGAAAAGCCAAGTTCTTTGTCCAGTGTCTCACAGCTGAAAAGAGAAGATCCTGGATTCAGCCCCAGGGGAGGTAGTGGGGTATAATAGCTAAGAGCTGGCCTCTGCAAAAAGACTGATATGAATTTAAGTTTCAGATTTATTACACTTATGACTATTTCTTCCACAAATGTTTAGATTGATTTGAATAGTGAGGAAACAGTCAGGGGAGTCAAACTTAAATGATGTTCTGCAAAACAAAATGCCCTGTTTTGGAACTCTAAGACTCCAAAAATGCCAATATCATGAAAGGCCAAAAAAAAAAAAAGACCAAGGAACTCTTGCAAACTAAAGGAGACTAAGGGGTTATACAATGTGTGATACCTGATTAGATCCTGGGGAAAAAACAGCTTTAAAAAGACATAATTGGGGCAAATAAGGAATTCAGAACATAGGCTGTATATTAGTTAATAATTTTACATCAGTGATAATGATACGAAAATGTCCTGGTTCTTAGGATATTCATGCTAAAGCATTTATTGATGAAAGGTCTTGATGCCTGTAACTTACTCTTAAATAGTGCAGAATAAATGTGAGTGTGTGTGTTTGGGGGCAGGGGGGCCGGGAGAAAAGGAAGCAGAATATTAATAATTAGTAAATCTAGATGAAAGGTTCACAGATATTCATTATTCTATTTCAACAACTTTTCTGAAATCTTTCAAAAATCAAAAATTGGGGGAAGACTGAATAAAAAGTTTGAGGGAGAGAAAAGATTTGTGGAATGAATTAACCTTTTGGGGAGTCCAGGATTCCTTTGAGAATGAAGTGAAATTTAAGACACCCCCTCAAAAAAAGTGCAGATACATGCAAAATTCTGGATTTATTTTCTTCCCAGAGGACTCACACCTCTTCAAGGAGCCACAGACCTTGACTCATATGCCTTAGACCAATAGGCTTAAAATGTCTAAAAGATGTTCAGAAATGACAGGGCATCAAACAGAAGCAAAAACACTCAAAAGGCATTTGAATTCTCAGTGAAGTGATCGTTCAGCAGATTAGGCAGAGCTAAGTTTGGAAGTCCAACAGAATACAGGCCCTGCTGTTCTGTGATGCTAGATGAGGACTAAACCTCAATTTCACCTGTATGTGAAATGGGAACTCAAAAGGTGAGTTGAGGAGATTAACAGGAGTCCTATCTATAACATGACAGACACTTAATAAATGCTCTGCAAATGCTCAGTGCTGTTTATTATTATTATTATTACTACAGTTACTTTCATTGTTGGTCATTAAGGGAATAAGTTTAAGGCCAATTCTCTAGAGTGCCCTCGGAGAATCTCTGAATCTTGAAAGGGTACGGGGTGCGGATCCCAAGGTGGAGGGAGAGGGAGGGTCCTGCTTAGCTTTTGAGAGGCTGGAATTGGGGGGAGACTGATCCTTACCATAAGTCCCCGGAAAGCTTTCTTCTCTGTGATCCGATACAATCCTTCTGCTGTCATGATTTTAATGTGCTTGACCTCGACATTATACCTGGAACCAGGGACAGAGGACCAGATGGTCATTGGGCACTGAGTCTGAGGACCAGGCCAATCCCCTGCCAAGTCTCAGCCCCAGGCTGTACCCCCAACCATGGAAGAAGTAATCTTGGCTCTTTCAAGGAGGGTGTTACCACTGGAGGCTAAAGACTGAAGCTGTCCCAACAGAATCCCTTCCCCACGGTCTTTGATGTTCCAAGCCTTAATTTCTTCCTCTCTTCTAAGAGGAATGATCTTCCCTGATTCACAGGTGTGTTGGGAAGTCAATAAGATGTTCTGAAGAAAGGAACATTCTAGAATAGATAGGAAGAGATCTCCACTTTCATTAATTTGGAGGACTACAGAATATAAGTTAGAAGAAGAGAAACCCACTTCTGCCAATATGGTGAACTACATAACCCCAAAACCTTCCTACTACAAAACTCCTAGAAATGCTGATGAGAAAAAGTGCTGAGCTCTCAAAAATAAAGGTGAGGGAAATCCCCAGAGGCCAAAAATAAAGATGACACTAAAAACTGAGCAGGAAGAATAAACTCGTGATGCTGGGATTGCCCAAACAGTTTTGCTGACCTTGGTAACCAAGGAGCTTAGGTCATGTGGAAACATGAAATGAGTTGAGTTGGCACTGAGACCTGCCCATACCCCATAAGGTTGGATTGTCAAAGAACTACACCCTCAGGAAAAGGGGTGGACTAGAAAAACTCCACCCAGCAACACAAAGAGTATAATAGAAAGCTTGTCTGTCTCAGACTCAAAGCAGAAAAGCCACCCTTGAGAATTCATAACCTCCAACCTGCCCTTCTGTAGGTTTAGGGTTTTAACTAAAATCATCTATGTGATGCTTGGGTTCAGACTGTGTTCCTGCCTCTTCCTAGAGTATGCTAAAGACTTTTCTGAGCCTCCTTAGGAAATCATCTCTTTTTCTTATGGGTTGTCAGGCAATTAAAAGAAATAAGAAAGGTAAAATCACCCAGGACTCAGCAGGAGCTTAATAAAAGATGGTTGTTATTACTGTACGCTCTCATAAAGTAAAAACTGGGTGCCCTTCTTCCAAGGCACCTGTTGGCCCCAGGTCATAGGGGAGATGGGTCAGGGAGGGAGAAGTTACTTAATACTGATGGCAAATTCTGCAGCGTCTTTCACCCTCTGCCGCACCAAGAACGTCCCGTCTGAACGGTTGGCGAGGATGCTCTCTGCCCCAGCACGTTCCATGGGGCCAGCATACCTGCAAAATTACACCAGGGAGAGAAGTCCACACAGCCCCCGCACATGGGCCCTTATACTGGCGTATTGAAGCTGTTTCTCCCTCCAATTCCTGTGATTTTTCAAGGTGGTGGCAGCCTGGACCTAACAGTCCTTAAATACCAAGTTAAGTCCCATGGAAGCAGTGGCCAGAGACCAGTGGCAGGCAATGGCCATCAGACTTCTGCAAGTCACACCCAAGGTTTGGTACATGTATTTCAGGGTAGAGCTCAGTCCTTTAGGTCTGGCTGGACCTCACTGTATGCCCACCTCTGTGGTCACCAGGATGGAAGCAGGGTAAGCAGTTGAGGCACTAGCCTCTGTTGCAACATTTAAGTGGAGCCAAAAAACCCAGTCATCAGCATAAATAATAATGCATAAAACAGAAGTATTTTAACGCACTATTTCTAAACATTAAAATAAATGAAAAAATCAGCTGTAAAAAGGAATGAAACACTGACACGTGCTACAATGTGAATGAACCTTGGAAACACAATGCTGAAACTAGCCAATCACAAAAGGTCACGTAGTGTATGATTCCATGTCTACGAAATGTCCGGAACAGGCGAATCCAGAGACAGAAAGTGGATGAGTGGGTGCCAAGGGCGGGGCAGGGGACGGGGAATGACCGCTGAGGGAGACGGGGCTGCTTCTGTGGGTAATGAAAATGTTCTGGAGTTAGATAGAGATGGTGTTTGCACAGTATTGTGAATGTACTAAATGCTACTGAATATAAGCGAAAATATAAATATATTTATGATGTAGACGCAGATACACAATAAAATAATAAATGTCAATTACATATGATATATATCATATATCATATAAATGTAAAAATATTTATTATAAATGTAAATATGTATGTATAGTATATAATGTATAATATATGAAATGTCAATTACATATGATATATATCATATATCATATGAATGTAAAAATATTTATTATAAATGTAAATATGTATGTATAGTATATAATGTATAATATATGTAAATATGTACATATAATATAATACATAATAAAATGTAAATATATTTTTATATAATATAATTGTAAAAATATTTATTCTAAATTTAAATATGTATTATAATGTATGATATATAATAATATAATATATATTTATATCATAAATAATATACTAATTACATGTATAATAAAGTAATGGTAAATAAAATGTTAATTATATGAAATATGTAATTATAAATATGAAAAAAATAACATTATATAAATGTAAATGTATTATAGTATATGATATGTAATAATATTATATAAATGTATATATACACTGTAAATTATATAATATGTGATTGTATATAATATGCAACATAATGTAAATGTAAATATGTAATATAAATGTAGATATGAATATGAATAGAAATGGCACCAGACACTAAATGGTTATGTTGTGTGAATATCCGAGCAAATAAATGGGGGCAGGGGGAAGAAGACACCTCAATTTTTTTTATAAAAGGAACGCAAAAAAACAATCCATGTTGAGTAAAATACACAAATTGCAGGAGACAGCTCAGTCTTTTGGGGCTAGTCCTAGCCCTGTCGGATCCTGCCTTTATTTACAATTTTGCTATCTTGTTCATCATGGACTTTTTTTGCTTTGTTTTTGATTTTTTAAAAACATTGCATTAAAATATTACATGTCTTGATCACTGAGCTTTTGAGCACCCCCTTTAACTATTATTTTATTTTTATTTTCTTTCGCTTCTGGGCAGTACGGGGATCCAAACCCTTGGGTGTTATAACACCGCACTTTAACCAGCTGAGCTAACTGGCCAACATCCTCCCCCGCTTAAAATTTTGCAGCCAAAGTGAGAGCTTCCCTCTCTCATCTCAGCCGCTGCCCAGCAGAGCACATCTTGGTGCGGAAGGGCAGAGCAGCAAGCCCAGCCACAAAAGACCACGGTTCAAATCTTAACTCTGCCACTTGCTTGCACTAAGGCGTTGAGAACTGATTTTGCCACTCTGAGCCTCAATTTCCTCTTCTGAAAAGAAGGAGGTACCACAGAGGGACATATTTGATAAACAGCAATAATGCAGTTGAAGCACTGTATGGTAGGCACTCGGGAGGTGGGAGTGTTGTAACCCTCACTGTGTCATTATTACTAACAGGCAGTAGAGAGGTACCACAGAGGGACATATTTGATAAACAGCAATAATGCAGTTGAAGCACTCGGGAGGTGGGAGTGTTGTAACCCTCACTGTGTCATTATTACTAACAGGCAGTAGAGTCAGGACTCCCTTGGGTTCGAATCCCATCTCTGTCACTTCCTCAACATGTGCATTGAATAAATCACTTCCCTTCTCTGAGCCTCCTTTGCAAAAAAAAAAAAAAGTAAGAATAGGATTTATTTCAAAGGTTCATTGTGAGAATTAAACAAGCTCATTAAAGCACTGACACATGGTCATAAAAACAATTCTGTGCTGCAGCAAGTCTAAGGTGCTCACAATTGTAAAAAGCCTGTTCTTTCATGCGCCGTTAGGAGAGAAAAACTACTGCCTCTAAAATTCGGCAGAGGACTGAGACTCCGTTGATTGCAAGAGCCATTACAATGTCAGAGATATTAAAATGAGAAGAAAAAAAAAGTGCACCTTAGAATGGATGAAATGTCAACAACAGCAAATGCTATATAATGCTTACTGTGTGCTGGCCCAGTGCTTAGCACTTACAGGCTCATTTAAGCCTCCTAACAACATCAGGAAGCAGATACTATTATTAAGCTATTTTACAGAGAGGAAAACTGGCAGAAAGAGGTTAAGCTACTGGCCCAAGGTCACACAGTTCATATGGCCCAAGGTCATATGTAACGTTGGAGTCAGGATTCGAACTCAGGTTAGCAGGCTCCAGACCCCACACTGTAAACTTCCACTCCTACCTGCTTAACAAGCTAAAAAAAACCAAAACATGGGACTGTCATTACCATCGCCACCACCATCATCATCACTATCATCACTGTCATCATGACCATTTTCCTTCCTACAAGACTATAATCTTCCAAGGTCAGGAACCTTCCTGCGTCTGTCCCCTCCCCAGCATCCCCCAGCCCAGGGCTGTACTCAAAAGTCAATGCTCTAGGTTCAAACACTAAAGAACTGATTGGTCTGGAGGCTCCTCCCATGCCTAACCTGCCATCCCACCACTCTCAGAAACCGTGAAATGAAAACAAGGAAGAAGGTTCTACTCACCAGAGATGAACGGACAGGTCCTGAGGAGGGCCCTGGGGACACAGACAAAGACCCTGACTTAGGGTAAAGGCCCCGGCTTGACAACAGACTTCAAGGCACTTCACTCATTGATTCATTCATTCATTCCACTAGCATTTACTGAGCGCCTAGTGTGCACCAGGCGCTGTGCTATTCACTGGGGATACAGTCCCAGAATCAGGTGGGAGAGACTATCCCAGTATCACGTAAACCATGGGTTGTCCTCCCACCTGTTTTAGCCCTCAAGCTAAGAATAATTTTTGCATTTTTAAATAGTTGACAAAAATCAAAAGAAGAATATTTCCTGGCATGTGAAGATCACATGTCAGTGTCCACAAATTATGTTTTATAGGAACATAGCCATGCTCACTCATTTAAAGATCACCTATGGATATTTTTGCACTACAGTGGCAGAGTCGAGGAGCTGCAAAAGGAACACATGGCTCAAAATGGTGAAAATATTCACCATCTGGCTCTTTACAGAAGATGGCCAAGCCCTGATCTAAATAAATGTGCAAGTGCTCACTTCCACTACCTCGCATCCATTAGGACGGTTACCATCAGGGAAAAAAAAAAAAAACGTAAAATAACAGGTGTTTTTGAGGATGTGAAAAATTGGAACCCTTGTCCACTGCTGGTGGGAATGTAAAATGGTGCAGCCACTAAGTAAAACAGGATGGCGGTTCCTCAGAAAATTAAAAATTAGAATGTGTGTATGATCCAGCCGTCCCTCTTCTGGGTATATCCCCAAAGAAACTGAAAGCAGAGTCTCGAAGAAATATTTGCACAGCCAAGTTCACAGCAGCATTATTCACAATAGTCAAAAGGTGGAAACAGCCCGAGTGTCCATTAATGGATGAAGAGATAAACACAACGTGGCCCATCCACACAACGGAATGTTACTCAGCCTCAAAAAGGAAGGAAATCCTGACACGTGCTACAACACGGATGAGCCCTGAGGACACTACGCTCAGTGACGTAAGCCAGTCACCAAAAAACATACTGTATGATTCCGCTTATATGGGGTCCCTAGAATCATCAAACCTATAAAGATGGGAGTAGAAAGAGGATGGCTGGGATGGGGAGGCGGGAATGGGGAGCTGTTGTTTAATGGGTGCAGAGTTCAGGTTTGCAAGATGAAAATAATTCTAGGAAGGGATGGTGGTCATGGTTTACAACAATGTGAATGAACTTAATGCCACTGAATTGTACCTTAAAAATGGTTAAGTTGGTAAATGTTATGTAATGTATATTTTATCACAACTAAAGAAAATAATAAAAAGAATGAGGAACCACCACCTCTATCTAGTCCCAAAATATTTGTTTCACCCCTAAAGAAAATCCCATACTCATTTCCCATTAAGCAGTCGGTCCCTACTCCTGCCATGCACCTGACCACCACCAATTTACTTTCTGTCTCTGTGGATCTGCCTACTCTAGACCGTCTACTTAAATGAAATACACTAAATGAAAATGTACTAAATATCATTGAATTGTTCACTGGAAAATGGTTGGTTTTTTGGTGTGCAAATTTTACCTGAATTTTTTTAAAAGGAAAAAAAAGAATGAAATATTCTATATACAGTGACATGGAAAGATCCTAAGATACAGTAAATGAGGGGGGAAAAAAGCTGCAGAATAGTGAATATTGAACCTTTTGAGTAAACTGTGAGGGAAATGAGCATCCATATTTGTATCTACTGATATTTGAACCAAGAAAGTCCAGGTGGACATATGAAAAAATGAACAATAGTCATTATCTTGTTCGACGGATAGTCCTGGGAGGACGGACGTTGAATAGAATGGAGAGGGAATTGCCATGTTCTGTATATTTTCTCAGAGCCTTCCTTGGAATAGGAGCAGAGGAGCCGCTTTAAGAAGGCAGCTACAGGGGCCAGCCCGGTGGCACACTGGAGAGTGCGCCGCTTGGGAGTGCGGTGGCGCTCCCGCCGAGGGATCAGATCCCCTGTGGAGACCGGTTCCCGCTCACTGGCTGAG